CGTGCCAACATGCATTCTTACTATGCACTGTTCATCCACACAGAAGACACTTGGAATCTCAAGGATTCCATCCCACTAGCTAGGTAAAGGTAAAGGGACCCCTGACCGTTAGGTCCAGTCGTGACCGACTCTGGGGTTGCGGCGCTCATCTCGCTTTATTGGCCGAGGGAGCCGGCGTACAGCTTCTGGGTCATGTGGCTAGCATGACTGAGCCGCTTCTGGTGAACCAAAGCAGCGCACGGAAACACTGTTTACCTTCCCGCCGGAGCGGTACCTATTTATCTACTTGCACTGCCGAACTGCTAGGTGGGCAGGAGCAGGGACCGAGCAACGGGAGCTCACCCCGTCTTGGGGATTCAAACCGCCGACCTTCTGATTGGCAAGTGCTAGGCTCTGTGGTTTAACCCACAGTACCACCCGCGTCCCTTCCCACTAGCTAGCTAGCAGCTAAAATGGTCAAACTGCATTCTGTATGGTTCTGGTGCTTTTCTAATGGCACAGATGTGCCCCTCTTCCCAAGGCAACAGCCCAATTCCATATGCAGCTTTGATACTTTGAATAGCCTTGGAGCTGTTTACAAACCACAGTGAGGGGGCAAGTGTATGAAGGTCTTTAAACCACACTTTGTGGACTTTTTTATCTCTCTTGTGCACCTACGTTATTTGTCGCTATGGGTGGAACAGATGTATACTGTTTAAAAGTACAGGTGCAGCACTGCAAAGAAATAAATGCAAGAATGTTGAATAAATGAGAGGCTACAAACCGGGGAATGAAACCTGAGAGGGATTGTAATGAATACAATTGTGCCATCTGCAGAGTACTTGGCAAGAGGAAAGAAAAGGTAAGACTGTAATTCGTGTCGATTCCGAATTGCCGGCTTTAAAAGTCAAGAGGCCCTTCTGCAAAAAATGTTGCTTTAAAAGCCAATATATTCTTCAGAATAAAAGGTGGTTCTTGGAACTGAAACACTTCTATTAATGCGGCTTTTCTGATCATTGGGTTATTGCAAGCAAGTTACTGTTCCAAGCACGTGCGCGCACACACACACACACACACACACACGTAAAATTGTGAACTGAATAAACAATGGGGTTCTTTGGAAGCAAAATAAATCGCATGGAAGTTGAGGGTATCAAAACAATATTTTTTTATTGCTGACAATAACTTGGGACATGAAGAAGCAAGGTAGCAAGGACTGGGGCTCAGCAGCAATGATGGGGGCAAGGACTAAGAAAGAGTTCTTTGGGGAACTGGAAAGGCCAGTAGTCTCGGTCACCAGTTACCTCCTAATGTGTCTCAATAAGAGACAAGGTACAAGGTGGGAGAGAAAGATCAATACGGTGTGCTTCATTGAAGCATTCAATGAAATTTCGAGTTTCTCCAGTCATTGTTCAACATGGTCTTGTGGTTTGCATCAATCCTCTGTATCAAAATCAAGCCGAACAAATTCTAAGGACTATTCTAGTAAATGTTATCACCTGAGTCTCTGCAGGAGTGGATTTGACCTTGTCATCAAAGAATACAGAGTGCGTAATATCCGTAGAGTCAAACACAGCAGGAATGAGAAGGAACCTCCTTTTGAGAACCTCTCAAAAGGTCAAGAGGCTATTGGAGCACAGACTCCTGGGGAGCAACTCCCTCTGGTAATATGCTGTAAATGTAATGTTTTGCCTTCTGCTCTTCCTTAACCTTGGATGTTTTACAATATTATTTGGTGCTCTTTAAGTACTAATCATTACTGAACCGGCTTGAATATGTTTTTCCCTCTCTGTGATCTATGAGCAATTTATCTAAATGCAAATCTGGTAATTAGAAATTGCATTCATCTTAATGTATGTTGCTGTACGAGGAAAGGCTCCTTTGTAGACTCATAGGACATCTTATTTATTGTTTGGGGGGAGTTATTGTTATTTCTGCAATATAATTATTGCTACATGTTATGTAACTTATTGCATATCTATTAATCTGCATGATGCATATAATTTTCAGTCCAAAGGAGCTCATCCATGGTGCTTTTATTGCAAGCATTGGGGCTGTTTTTAGAACACAAAGTCTTTGTATCTGAGTCCATAGGAGAAACTGTTCTGCATTGCTCCAATCAGACATATAAACATTATTTTGTATTATTATTGTTGTTGTTGTTGTTGGCAATGTGTGTACATTTCTTCAAACTCCTTTTCCAGAGTTACAGCTTGACTCAAATAATGTGCAGAAATGTAATTTAAAACATGATTGATTTTTCCCCATTTTAAAAACGCTCAAGGCAATCCCAGAGGCATGGGGTTGGTGTTAGAGCAGCTATAATATGTACTGCTTCTTAAAATGCATAATTTTTTCTCCCCTCCCCACTTCCCCAGTTATGTGAATAAAAGTTTGCAGTTCAACAGCCCTTTTGCAAATGTAGTTGCTATTCTGTCCCCATCTTTTAGCCTGCAACTCAAGAGGACAAGGATTCCACAACCACCACCAGACACGGAGTCCCCTATCATCCCTGTAGGAAGTAGCTGCCTGTTTGTTTGCTTGCTGCACCCTCGGCTAAACAGTTCTGCCAATAAATTTATATTGTTATTTACAGACATCCTGCTACAGTGTTCCTGTTTTTGAAAGTGAAGGTCTTCACCGAATGCTGTTTGAATCCAGTAGTGTGCTGTGGAGCTGGTTCTCTGTTACATGCTTTTTGTTGTTGTTGTAATGTGAGTGGAAGCCCATAAACTAGGGCCAGGGCCTTTTCAGTACTGGCCCCGACTTGGTGGAACGCTCTGTCACAAGAGACTAGGGCCCTGCGGGGCCTGTTCTGCCTGGACTCAATCTGACCCTTATGTTTCCCTCCCTTTATGGTTTTGATCTATGGGTTACTTTTAAAATGAGGCTACATTTTAAATTGCATTTTAACCTGTACTTTAAATTGGTTTTGTTTCCCAATTATGTTTTTACTGTAATTTTACTGGTGTTAGCTGCCCTGAGCCCGGTTCTGGCCTGGGAGGGTGGGGTATAAATAAAAGTTATTATTATTATTTGTTATTTTTATTATTATAAAACTGTTTTGGTGTGCAAATGCCAATTCAAGAGCATGGGGAACTGCTATCTGGACATGCAGTCATTGGTTGGTTCTCATGTTGCCAAGTCAGTGAATCTGTGCTGTGCAAATGCATTGCTCTTAGGTAAATGATCATTAGCACATGATAGCTCTTTTTACTGTAATAGAATTAAGCCTGTTTAGATGCAAATGCGCTGAAATGCTGATAGACTGAGGTGGAAGTGGGAGAGTAAATTTTAAATGCATTCCCAGTGTTACTCGGCAAGTCTCCTGTTTGAAGCTGAAGCCCACAAGAAGCTGCTACCCAGTGAAACACAGGAGCATGAAATATACCAGTCAAGTCAAAATAATAGAAAGAATGCCATATTTATATATTTTTGGTGTTTCTGTCCTGCCCTTTGCAACATAGTCTCTAGGCAGCTTACAGTAAAAACAGAAATACCAGCAAATAGTTAAAACAGAAGGTGAAACAATGAAAAACCTGCAGTTTAAAATGTAAATCAAAGCATCCTAAAAGGCAATTTGCAAAGATCTCCAATGCCATTAAACATTGTGAATGTAATATGGTAATTCTGGGTACATCTGAGCCGATCAGCCAGAGGATAGGGATTGAGAGCATTGGAGATAGAGTTAAGATTTCAGGACCAAGGACAGATCACAGAGAAGCAGAACTCAAAGCATCTCTGATCAGGAACTCAGTGAGGACTGAAATATTCTGCTGGGGCTTGAGAATTTTGGCCACATGTTAGCCCATCTCCTCCTCCTCCTCCTCCTCCTCCTCCTCCTCCTCCTCCTCCTTCTCCTTCCTCTTCCTCTTCCTTTTCCTCTTTTTTTTCTTTTTCTTTGGTATACACCATTTTAAATTTACAAAGGAACACACTGAGCTTAGAGGCACATTCAGGCACCCAAACATATAATTGTAGTGTTTGAAAAAACAGCATCGGTCCCCTCCAAAGCAAACTGCACCAACTTGTCCTCCAAAAACTCTCCTCCTTCCTGCCTGATTCAAAACTTTGTATCGTCCCCACCCTGCTGAAAATGAGGGTTAGGTCTGTAGGCCCGGGGGGGAGGGAGTGTGGAGTGCATGGGGATTCTGTTGTAAGCAAAGCACAATAAGAGAGACTGTGGAGCTGATTATATGACATGGAAGTTAAGCAGGTGCTTTAACTTGGAATCTCCTTAGGGCTTTTTTGGACACTGAATTTGCAAATGTCTCAACAGTTCCCACTGTGGCTGCTTCCAACTCTGCAGGCAAAGTAAAATAAATATTTTATGAGTTCTTCAGTGTTATCACAGAAATTGTTGTGATGTGCTGCTCATAGCCGGGTCACCCTTCACGTTAACCATGAAGAATGTGTAAGCCGTCAAAGTTGCTGGAGACGCAGGTGCAGGTGTTATCTTTGGGGAATCTGTCTCTTTGGATCTGATCTTGCCCCCATTCTAGGCTGCAGATGTACTGCGATGCATGAGTTCTCTGCAAGACTTCCTTTCAAGACTCTGCAAATCAACCTCTTGGGTCCAGAGCACACTATGCAGGTTGGAGACTGTGCTTGAAGAAGCAGATAATGAAAATTAAATCTGGACAATTAAATTATTCCAATATAGTCAACTGCATCCTTTTAAATCATATCTGAGGTGAAGAATTGCCCAAAATTAACTTCCAAAATAATGCTCCCCCCTTTATTTAACACAGAATCGTAGCAAATAACAAGTATGTGCCACACTGTTTTATATAGATGGCATGCATTGCCCAGTATTGCTGTTTCTATGCAGTTGCGATTTTGTAAAGATGATGAAAATTTAAAAATAAAGAAAATTCACAAAGCGACCGACTGCGTAAGACTGTGCAAGAATGCAGTCCTGCTGGGCAGACTTAACAAGCTCCCTGGTTAAAATCTGCTTGCTATGAATGAGCCAAAAGACTTCACACCCAGGAAAACTGTATCTGACAGACAGCCTTGCAGGGTGAACATTTTTAGAGAAAAACAGGCACAACAATATGTTTTATTGGATTGTCTTGTTTTAGCACCCTTTTTTGTGTAAACTTAACCAAGCCCTTTTTCATGCAGAAATTGTTGTGCGGCTGGTTGAGTCCAAACCATGAAGAAAGAATTTGGAAACGGCAACATGAACAACCACAATTAACATCACAAAGAATGTGACATCTTCAAACCCCTTGCTGGTTAGTAAAAAAAAGCCCACAACTAATTGACTTTAATGATTTTACTGTGTTTATTAAATCTCCAATATGTTATCTGAATTCACTGAATCTCCAATATGTTATCAATGACCAGAATATTAATAGCATATCAACAGCTTCAGTCTTTAGTATAAAGGTAAAGGGACCCCTGACGTTTAGGTCCAGTTGTGACTGACTCTGGGGTTGCGGCACTCATCTCACTTTACTGGTTGAGGAGCCGGTGTACAGCTTCTGGGTCATGTGGCCAGCATGACTAAGCCACTTCTGGCGAACCAGAGCAGAGCATGGAAACGCCATTTACCTTTCCCACCAGAGCAGTACCTATTTATCTACTTGCACTTTGACATGCTTTCAAACTGCTAGGTTGGCAGGAGCAGGGACTGAGCAACGGGAGCTTACCCCATCATGGGGATTCGAACTGCTGACCTTCTGATCAGCAAGTCCTAGGCTCTGTGGTTTAACCCACAGCGCCACCCATGTCCCTAAAGTCTTTAGTATACGTACTTGCTAATACATTCTATTGAAATAATGTGTGACTGGATTCAGAAAAAAAATACTATTTTGCTCTATGTTTTTCAACAATGCAATGGCTCAACCTGCAGATTACCCAAACTGAATGAGTCACACATAGCCTCCATTGCAGGCCTTCTCGGACCTTTGTCATCATGTAGAGAACTGAAGGTCTGAGGAGGGACCTCTCTCTGTGTGTAAATGATCTCTCCAGTAACACATGGCTCCCAATTCTGTAGAGCACCGATGCACATAACAATGTGGGTGTCCCTTTTCAGATTTCAGATCCCTCTGTAGGAGATCTGGGGGCAAATCCTTCGGGGGCGATGAAAGAGTGGACTGAAGACACCAGGAACAGTACTGTTTCCCCTTCTATGCATTTTTCCCTATGGGGTGGAGGGAATTTGTGAAAGGAGCTTGCATTCCTAGCTTATTGGTCGCCTGTAGACATTCACTCACAACTATTATGGTTTTTATGAATGGCTTTTAGGCAACACCCATGGCAAGAGCTGTAGAAATCATTAATTCTTCTGACCCTGCAAAAAAAAAGCTTTGCTCAAAAATACATATAAAACCACATTAGAACAGCTATCCCTGGTTGGAAGCCAGAGCAGTCAATCAAATAACTATGCTGCCTTTTCTCCTGTACTTATATGGAGTATTTGGGGCTTGGGGAAATGTGCCCGTTTTAAAGAGACAACAAATCTGAGGTCTATGGGATTTCCTAAGCTCTGAGGTGTCCCGATTGGGTACAGGCTTCTCAAACTTTGCTTGAGAAGAGGCCCGTATCTCTCTGAATCTTAATCCAAATCCGAACCAAATCCATACCCCTAATCATTATTAACATAAAGGGTGCAGAATGGTTGCATTAAGATGTTCTTTCTTGTGACAAAACAATGTTTTCCCCACCTATTTCCAGTTCCCTCAAGACTCCCCCCCCTCCCAATTTGCCACAGACCTTTTTATCTCCTTTCCTGTGCCCATTTAATACATCCCGGAACAGCACATTTAGAACAACCGTTCTGTGCCAGGAGTGCTTTCCGCCCTCAATAAGATTTGTTTCACACCGTCCTCTTTAAACATGTATACGCACCACAAACCAGGCTTTATTATTCCTTGGGCCACACACCTGCAATTGGTTTCCATGGCGACAAGAGTTTTGCAGCCCCCATCAGTTTTGTTCTCAGTTCCGATTAACAGATCACTAGCTGGCGGTAAAAAGGCAATTAGCGGGGAAAGGCAACTTTTCAGGTGGGTTCGGGAGTTTTAAAATCTCTCGGCAGTTGCAAATGCTGCTGGAGGAACAATACCAACAACAAAGACCCCTTTAAATAAAACTTCTGTGGACAGAGCCCACTAGGCCTCCCAGTGCTTGGTTCAATATGGATGGTCTCCCTGGCTCCTGACTCTGGGGAGGAGTACAGGTAGTGCGCAGGGCAGTCAAGTCAGTTTCTCTTAATCCTCATGGAAGCAAGTTGAAATGTTTGCTGTGCAGTCACAAACTGAGCCCAAACATATCTTTGGAGACCCATTTCTTTCTTTTTTTTAATCATATATTTGAATGGTAGCAGATCCATCTTGGATCTGGCTAAGACCTTGTACTGGATGCTGACCTCCCAGTTGAAGACCAGTCCTCTATGGCAAGGATGGGGAACTTGTGGACTACAGCTTCCATCACCGCTGATCATTGACCATGATGGTTGGAGCTGCTGGGAGTTGGAAGTCCAACAATATCTGGACAGGTTTCCCACCCTCGCTGCTCCCCACACATGCCACAGTTCATCCTAAGTCCCACCAAACCCTTAAAGCCAAGCTGATTTAGATGCTATGCTGGGTGAGAGAGGAGATTAAAACGAGACAGTGTCTTGCTCCTTGTCTTGCCTAGGTAGCAAAATGGCACACCCAACTCAGCCAATGTGTCATTTTGGCAACTGAGGAGTCTCTCTCTCTCTCTGTTCCTTCCTAGGAAACAAGTAACAATTGGTGACCATTTCATAACCATCAAAAACAATTGCCCAGGCAACCACTTCACCCAGCCCTATAATTGGGCTGGCTCTTTTTCCCAGTGGGAGGAATGTCCATGATGCTTTTTTTTCACATGTTCACTCACTCTTGCATATGTGTGTGTGTTGCATGTGTGTGTATCTGTCTGTCTGAAATCTCACTCACTCACTCACTTCTCGTTCTGCCTATTCAAGCCCAGATTCCTAAATGTATGTAAGGAGCTAGGCCTAGCCTCCATTTAATAATATCTCCTTCCATTATGCATGAGCACTTTAGAGTGACAAATGAAACTTTATCTTGTCTTCCGGAGCCGAGTTTTGTTTTATTTGCAAGCCACGACGAGAGTACATTTTCTCCCCTGCTTGCTTTCTGTGTCACATTCTTAGAAGGCAATATTGGGATCTCATTTTGTCTGTCTGTCTCTTCCCACTCACTTGCCACATTACCAGTGCCTCATCAGTTCTGAATACCTGATCTTTTTAAATGTTTTACAAAGGAGGATCTCAACTGAAGCACAGGGGTTTGTGAAGTGCTATTTTTCTAGGAAAATAGGTGCAGGACCTCATCACAAACGCCTCCCTTGTTCTCTTAGAATGGCAATGGCGCCCAACCGAGAAGTTCCGGGGCTCAGTTCCAGCTGATAAAAAGCCTTGGTTTTGCAATGCTTTCTTGAATACCTTGGACAAGGCCTGTCCTTTGATATGTCGCTTAAGCACACGAAAAGTTATGGGATTACAGTCATACCTCGGGTTACAGATGCTTCAGGTTGCATTTTTTCAGGTTGTGGACTACCGAAGCCCGGAAGTACCGGAATGGGTTACTTCTGGGTTTCGGCGGTCACACATGCGCAGAAGCACCGAATCGCAACCCGTGCGTGCGCAGACATGCATCCTGCACGGATCACATTCGCAACCCAAGCGTCCACTGTATACGAAAGGTAAGTGTGTGTGTTTCTGTGTTTGTGTGAGAGAGATGGATGATGTGTGGACAGGTTTCTCCTTAGCAAGGCCACCCCTTTAGAATTGTCACTGCATGTTCCCCCGCATGAAACAGGCTATGACTGTCAGAGAAATTAGACGTTTCAGAAGTGAGTAGTGTCTTCCCCACTTGCCTCCAGCTCTGGTGTACTATTTACACTTTTATCTAGGCCTCTGAGGGTGTGCGGCATGAGAAATGCAAGCGAGTGCAGCCGGGAGTGTGGGGCCTGTGCAATGGCGGGTCCCAGTCAGTGATCAAACACAGGAGAAATAGAGACTGACAGTTGTCAGTGCTCAGGCATCAGCATGTTCCCAGATGTGTGTCCCTTGAGAGGCTTTCTGTGCCACCCTCCATCGTGGGAAGCCTGTAGCTGTGCATCACTGTGGATGGATAGCTTGAGCAGAGTTCTCAATATTTATTATTTTTCGAAATATATTTCTCTTTCTGAAAGCTGCTGTGTGTGTCATGTTCCTGCCAGTGGCGTGCTGGTGCTAATCAGTGTCAAGTTCCTGTCAGCTAATGCTTTTGCTGTTTTTAGGATGGCAGCTCTGTTCTGGGAAGCGGTGAGGGATTCGGCGAGGCTGCAGCCATCCAAGGCAGCTTGCTTTCTTTTTTAAAAAAGGATTGTGTATTTCTGAAGAAGGGAGAGTTGTGTAAAATGAAAGGGGAAGCACCGCTCCTAAACATGGTGTCGTGTACCACAGGAACTGACAAGCAGTATTGGAAGTTAAGTTCCCTTGATGGTTTTCTGCAGTAACAGGCTGAATCTAGACATACATATATATATATAAAATAAAATGCTGTGAAAATGCTTTGTTTATTTTTTAAAAAAAGATTAATATGGAATTTCCCATTAGCTTACCATCGCCATCTAGTGTCACTTTTGTATAAGGCACTTAAAACACGCTTAAAACGTTATTTTTTCCCCCTTTTAGTATATAAGCTTTGTATACATGTTGAAAATTATAGTATAATAAGCCTTGTGGTGCAATATGATAATGTTTACCAATGTAACATAAGAACTTTAATAAATAAATAAAATTTAAAAAAATTAAAATAAAACGTTATGTTTGCTGCTGTATTGCTGAGTCCACAGTTGAGGCTTTTCTTTCTTTTCTTTTTTTCCAATTATATTTTATTAAATTTTCAAAAATTTCACATACACATTCCAATACATATGAATTTTTTCCTTTTGTTTTGTCTGAAAACCAAGCCACTGTGGTTCTTCCTGCTAAACATCTTTCCTCCCCCCATTTTACAAAGCCAGCGATGTACACCTTAGTTCCAGTTACTGAATGGAAAGAGCAAATGGCCACCTTCCAATCATCTGAGATTTTACAAGGCAGTGACCACACGCCTTTCAAACTTTTCTCTGTGTGTAACCTTAGAGACTAAACGGTTCCCCCCCCCCCCCAAAAAAAGAAAGTCGAAATGGTCAAGTTATAGATTTCTGCACCCAGTGCTGTTTTCTGTATTTACATGGTGTGTCTGTGGGAAATAGATATCCATGCCAGAGTACAGTGCATTGCAATCCATATTAGGATTTATTTTTAACCGCTTCAAAAATGTTCTCGGAATGTGCCAGCTTTTAAATGAATACAGCTGTGATTTGCCTTACAGTAGCTCTAATTGCTAATCTGGTTTTTAGATGTTCAGAATGGTCCCTACATGCACCTCCTTAAGAGGCATATTGAGTTGAAACCAAAGTCCTAGAACTGCTGACGTGACAGGAAAAAAAACGGTCCTTTTCACTGCCTGCCAAATGTCTTGTAATTCTATAAGAACCTTCATTGTGAAAAAGAAGATAAAACAAAAGCGGCCTTTATTATCCTAAAGGCAACTACATACCTTTCTGCAGTGGTGTATAAACCTCCTGTAATTTATTTTTATTTTTATTTTGGCTCCGTAACTTGTAGTGTTGTTGTGTGTTCTGTTCTGTTTTTTGAATGCACCATCTGGCTGATGAAACTTAACATCTATAGCTGAGGATTACACAGTAAAAAATAGGGCAGAGAAATGAATGGAATCTTCTGAACAGTTAGTTTTAATCAATTGGAAAACAATTATGCTGGCAATGTTGGCAGGAGTTAAACTCTCCACCACAGCAGTGTTAAAAAGCAAACTCCCCCCACCCTGCCCCTCCACCACCAAAAAACCCAGATGTCTTATAAAATGCAATATAAACTACATACATAAACTACTTCCACCCTGAAGCATGTCTTGTAGGAGTGAAGACATCTAGAATTATAGGATTGCTCCAAACAGGACCATAGAGCCACTACTTACAGTTTAACCTACCTAATTCCTAGCTTTCAGGTGCCGTTTGATAATTAAGCCAGTTGTGAGGGAATCAGGAAATCACACGCAACCCACGGGTTCCTTAACCCTTACACATCTCTCCAGGCAAGCAAGAGTCATGGCTGCAGTTCAAGGTCCCATGCCATCCAGGTGAAAGCATTCAAGGAGTTTGTGGAGCCAGGCTCGTGAGGGGCATGGCCTGGGGTGAAGGTGTGGCCTATTTATTAATTTAAATTTAATAATTATTAAATTTATATACCATCCTTTGGCTAAATGTCACAGGACAGTTTACAGCATAAAAATACAAAAATGGCCTAGAGTATCCTGAGAGTCAAGATAGAGAGTAACCTTCATTTGAATCTTGGACCCCACCTTGGGCCTAGAAAAGAAATATTTTTGGGGGGTGGAGAATTGATGCCTTGGGATTGGTACCTCAGGTTACAGACTCTGCTAACCCGGAAGTAGTACCTTGGGTTAAGAACTTTGCTTCAGAATGAGAACAGAAATTGTGCGGCGGCAGCAGCAGCAGGAGGCCCCATTAACTAAAGTGGTACCTCAGGTTAAGAACAGTTTCAGGTTAAGAACAGACCTCCAGAATGAATTAAGTTCTTAACCCGAGGTACCACCTCGGGTTGTTTCCTCCTCACCTCTTTCCAGAAAAAGGAGTCTTTGGCAAACAACGGACTCTGCTTTAACTAATACCCATCAATGTTTGGCATGCATATTTACACAAACATAAGAAATACGCTCCTGCCCATTCACTCAGGCACTGCTATCTGCCTGCCTCCATTGTGGGCTTGATGTGTGGAATAGGGAGGGAAGGGAGAGTCTACGGATTCTGGGGGAGCCAAGCCCTTCCATTGTTCACAACCAAAGCTGGACTATTGGAGGTCTATGCATTTGTAGCTGTTCCCACTAGCCAGATCTAAAACTGTTTCTGCACAGGCTCAGATTCATGGTCATGGAGGCACGCCCTGGAAAAAAGGGATGAAATGATTTTGCAGATCTCTCTTAGCAAAACATCTTAGAAGAGCTGTTTACAGACATCCCATTGCCTTAGCCATGGTTAACACAATTATTTATCATCCCGCCTCTAAGATAGCCGCCATTTTATATATATACAGTGGTACCTCGGGTTAAGTACTTAATTTGTTCTGGAGTTCCGTTCTTAACCTGAAACTGTTCTTAACCTGAAGCACCACTTTAGCTAATGGGGCCTCCTGTTGCCGCCGCGCCGCTGGAGCATGATTTCTGTTCTCATCCTGAAGAAAAGTTCTCATCCTGAGGCACTATTTCTGGGTTAGCAGAGTCTGTAACCTGAAGCGTCTTTAACCTGAAGCGTATGTAACCCGAGATACCACTGTACGTGCGTCTATGAACTTGGCATTGTTTTATTCCCCCTCTTCTGCAGAATAGGAGAAAGCAGACTTTCTTCTTAAACTGAGCGGCAAGAGTTTAAGCACATCTTCCCAACCCCTTCTCCCACACCTCCGAGTCACAAATCAATCTGTGCAGACTAGGCTTGACATTATTAGTTTGTTATAATTCAAGATGGGCAGAAGATAAATGCTGCTCAGCCACAGAGTCCCTACTCTCTTATTTCAGTCATGCAGCCAATGCAGGCTTCGTTCTCGCTTCTTTTCCATTTAATTGTCATGAACAGATCTTCTGGGATAAGATTCGCTATGGCCTTACATTATTTGTACTTGCGCAATTTAGCTGCATGTTCATTTCTGGCTTTGTTACGTTTCATTACTATCTGCTATCGGGGTTGCATATACAGAAGATTAACAGAATTCAAGATTTACTGTTGACATGGCAGAAACTCCTGACAGAGCTCAATATTTGGCATAGGCAGCACTCAGTACATGACTTCTACAGCTTAACTTCACAAGGTGTCACTTTTAAATCCTGCTTGCTGTTTCTGGGATCCTGGCATTTGCAAGTTCCTGGCCCTCATGCTGAAAGAATTATGGGAAATGTAGATTAATGGTGCTGGGAGTTAGAGCTCTGTGCTTTCAATGTATGCTGCGACTGTGACCATAGTTTTAAAAGGTGATGACAAAAGAAGATAGTAGCAAATCATCACAAAGAAACAAGATGATAGTTTGTGTGGCAGGTGTTATTCTTCCAGTGTTCCCAGTATTAAAAACTCAATATATTTTGGTATTTTATTTACATTTGTAGTTTGTGATTGTATAATCTTTAGAAAAATAGTTGGTGTGACCAGTGCCTTTTTTCTTTAAAAAAAAAAAAAGTTTAGGGACACAGTCATACCTTGGTTCTCAAACAGAATGCATTCTCGGAGTCCGTTTGAGTGTTTGAAAACCAAGATGTGGCTTCCAATCGACTGAAGGAGCATCCTGTAGCCAATGAGAAGCCACAGAAGCCACACTGGATGTTTGGCTTCCCAAAATCGTTCAAAAACTGGAACACTCAATTTCGGTTTTTGATCATTCGGGAGCTGAAACGTACGAGTTCCAAGGTGTCCGGCAACCAAGATACGACTGTACTCCCATCTTCCTACTCATATTGAAATAATGCCCCTCAATGAGACCAAACTTAGATTCATAAAATGTTTAGGGGTATGTGTACCACTGTGTCCCCGTAGAAAAAAATCACTGGGTGTGACAGATGGCTCAGGAAGAGTCAGCTTTCAAGATGAAGAACCATAAAAAACAGCAATTAAACATATATTTTAAAAAATTCAAATCCAATACAGGAATTCAGAAATAACAGGTTTCAGTTTTTGATTTAGCTGTGGTTGTGGGGGGTTGGACCAGATTACCACAACTCCACATTTCTATGATTCAGTCTCAAGTGGCAGGGAAAGTCTGGGCAAAAAGATATGTTTTCCAAAGGTGTCCAAACCAACTAACAGATGTTGCTGCACATGCATTTGACATGATTTACTGGGCTGCAGCACTCTGAATTGCAGGTCCTTCACGTGTCACGTGTGAGAAGGGAATGTGTGAGGACACGTGTTGGAGAAGCTTCCTTGAATAAAAGCTAGTGACTTGCCAACCACTTCAGCGGACATTGCCATCCACTTCAGATCAGAGATTTAGTCCTTTCCTGCTCTGTTCCCTCTGCAAGACTTATGTCCTTGCAGACAGCTGCCTCACATGCTGCGGTTGGTATCTGTGTCTTATTAATTCAATCCCAGGGCAGGAAACCTATCAATAAAGAAAGCCGATTGTTCAGACTGTACAATTCAAAGTTGGTTTTAAATGATCTGAGGTGTTTTAAAGAACAATTAAGAGGGGGAACCCATTAAGATTGAACCTCCTGTAATAGTTTAATGTTTGGCTGTAGGGATGGTGCTTTCTATACTGTGTGCACCTGATTAGGTGACCTGCCTGTGAGAACCTGCAGCCTGTTAAGCAAAATGCCCATTTTCTGTTTTTAAGCTGCATTCATAAAAAGATTTCAGAAGCCATACAAAACTTTTTTGTTTCATGGCATACTTTTTAAAACAACAGCATGGTTGTATTAATACTTTTTTCCTGCATTAGTTATGTGTGTGGTGTTTTTTTTTAAAGGGATTAACACAGATAACACAGTTTGCACATCCCCCTGTTCGGCTTGCTCCCATCATCCAGTCCCAATACAGTCACTCTCTCAGCCCATTCTATACTGAAAGCAGTACTTTTTTCTGGGGGGATGCATACCTCTAAACATTTTGTGAAACTAACGGGAGAAGAAACTAAAAAAGAAAGAAAAAAGTT